TTGTTAAAAATAAATGTAATCCACAAAGAAAACTTGAATTAAGATGATGTATCATATTTAATTGTTTAAAAAAATATGGTCGAGACATAATTAATAATGCAATAGTGTCGCATATTGCAAGTAATAATAAATAACAACCACAGGAAAGTATACGTAATTTACGTTGAGAAAATGTAAGCACTGAAAGACCATTACCAATAATACCTAGAGAGAAAAAAAACACACACGCACACACATTCTTAATTCAATCCGAACAAAAATAACACCATATTTTTCATTCTATTTTGATTGCTTATTTACCTAGTATCACCAAATATGGTACAACAACATTAATTCGGTCTTCAATTTCATCCAAATATGATTGTGTTTGATTTTCACAAACACTTTCAATCGATGTTGATAAAGTTGTTGTTATTAAATCAATTTGTGTGTCTAAACGAAAACAAAAAAAAATTAAATCGTATATTTTCAGCAAATGAAAGTAAAAGAAATTTTTTCTTTTTTGTTTCGTCTTGAAATCATTTATTAAACAAGAATTTGAATAATTCTTACACTTTTGATAGATGATTTTATGTGTTGTGGCCGTTGACATTGATAAAAACAATAATATCTCAAAAAAAAAAAAAAAAAAAAAAATAATAAAAAATGATCTCTTTTATAACATACAAAATGTTTTTAAAAAGCAAATATTCTCTCTTTTATATATATTTTTCTCTTCTTTTAATTAACAATCAAGAGCACATGATAGAAAGAGAAGAGACAATATGATAAAAAATATATAAACAAAGATGAATTTCTTGAAGTCTTCTTGCTTTATTGTTCGTGCTAGAACGTATTTGTTATCCCATGAAATATGATTATCTATGCATGACATATTCTGAGCGAGACATTGTGAAGAAGGAAAAAAAACCGGAGAGATAAAAGAAGAAGAAAAGAGAAAAGAGACTAATACAAATGCAGAGTATGGACAATCAATAGAGAAAATTATAACAATGGTGATAAAGGGACAACATGAGGCTCTTATTATGACTAGATGACAAAATTATTTTTCTGGACTAGAATGAATAACAAGAGATGTAAAACGCCAAAAGCTATTTATACTCCCGCACTTGCTAATCACTCGTAACTGGAACAAATAAAGCAAAGAGAATGACTCCGCATTTTCCAATCTGTTATTTAAGTGGTGCCATTCAATCATCAATGTTAGCAAGTTTTTCTTCCAGAAGGATGCTCTTAATTAGCTTAGTTCAAAATTCGCTTATAAATTATGAATGAGCATTTAGGTCACTTATTATAATTACTATGGAATATGTATATTTGATAGTTCAAAATATTATCTATATTAAATTATCTAGTAATTAATTAACAGATAGAAAAAAATATTAACAGAACGTAAACAAAAGAAAAGTACACTATTTCATGACTATAGAATGTTTTCTTCTTATCGATTCTGGTTCTTAAATATAATATGGAGTCATATTCTAATTGAATTTAGCATCAAAACCGCGACATTTGGGAACAATAGCAAAAACAAGGCTTTAGCCTCTACATAAAAATAACAATATTTTTTGTCTCCTGAGATAGACTATGTTCTTCTGTCTAGTATAAATTAAATGTTTTTTTTTTTCACATAAAAAAATATATTATTATCCGTCGAGATAATATATCTAGATAAAACTTTTGTAGAAATCCTACGTAGTTATACATATATTGAAAAACTCAATTGTGAATAATGCTGTCCATAGTCAAAAGATTTCTATTGCAATAACATACATATTAACTATTTTCTTCTAATCGAATAAAACTTACTATTAATCAAAAAATTGTATTAGAAATAATTCAAGGCTACACTAATTATACTTTTTTTTTTAAAGATACTAATCATTACAATATTTATGAAAGCAAATGTCTGTTATGTCTAATTTGCTTTTTCTTATATAGTATATCTCCTGAGAATGGAATATTAATAAAATATCATTAATAGCAACATTGTCTATTGGGTATATACTGACTAGATTGAAAATTCATATACTCAAAGTAGACTACAGCAGTTTTGTTCATCATTAATGAAGCAAATTCAAACAAATAATAGTTGAAAAAAAAAAAAAAGAAAAATGATAACATACTATATTTTCAACATCAACTATTGATGTAATCTCGATAGCTACTAACAACGGATTAAAGTTTATGTAATTTCATGAAAGATGCTTATCTAAAATCTAATTTTACTTACTAAAATTAAAATTTATCATAGTTAAATTACGTTGATACTATATTTTACATAGTGTTATCATATATATTTTCATTGAATCATTCCTTATAAAATACTAATATATAAAAACTTGTCAAAATAAAAATAAATAAACGTAAATACTACATATAAGGAAAAGTATATTTTCCTGTTTAATTATTTAATAAGCAAAAAAGATAAAAATTTTCTTAAATAAAAGCCAAATGGCAACATGTCTTAGGAGTCCTACGTTATAACGTCCTTGAATAAAAAAAAATATATTTTTTATAATGAGAACAAGATGAAAAAAAAAAAGAAGTGGTCTGATTATATTCTCTTTTAAATAAAAAATTGTATGCATATATGAGAGACTGAGTTTAGATGAGTGCTCTAGAAATTCTTTTCGACATCAATAAGAAAATAATCTTGTCTCTAAAAATAGAGTAAATCAACCAAAACTCTTTTGATGAATGACAAGCATCCTATAAAATTATATTTTTTTTATTAGGAATAATATTTAATAATGGACAATAAACATATCGAAGAAATTCTATACATTTCAGCAATTTATTTTTAAATGAGTATAGAAGAAAGTTGAAAAATGACTAAATTAAAGAAAATGTCATTTTTTTTTTCCTATTAGAAACAAAAAAGAAAATTTGTTTTCAATTTGACATTTATTTAAGTGGACTCTATTGAAAATTTGCTCATCAAAGGTTCAATGATAATTTTGTGTAAGTAATTTTATTTTATGCATCATAAATATAAAAGAGTATAAAAGAAAACGAGGATTAATGAAGAAATTCTAGGGAAAAAAAATTCTTTATAAAAAATATTGTTCTATTATGTTTTTCAGTCTTATTGCTATCTTGTAGATTCGTTCTATTCGGACGATATTTTATTCAAAGCTTAAAATAAAAATAAAAATTTCATGACAGCAGTCATTAACCTACTTAGTCACGACAATATTTGTTAACATTTATACTCAAATTTACGTCCAATCTTAGATTGAACGAATCGGAGTACGTACACGATATATATATATAAAGTAGAAATTAGAAATGGAGAGAAAGCGAGAGAGAAGAAAAAGAGAAAAAAGCAAAATGAACAGTATAATAAAAAAAATTTTGTTATTATTAATTTTTCTTTATCTTCTTTCTAAAATGTTATTGTACCCGTCATTTTCACTTAATGCTAAAATTAAGATGAAAGAATACCCTTTTGTCTTCACTAGATTTACAAATGCATTAACATACTACATTAAAAATATGAAGAAAATAAAAAGGAACAAAGATGGAGAAATAGTGAAAAAAAAGAACCACAAAAAGCTTTTTCCGGAACACTGATGAATCCTTGTCAGAGCTGTAACCGGTCGAGAACTTACGAATCGATTCAAAACATTTTTCATACGGGTAAAAATCAACTAAATTTTTTAACACATTTTTAATAGTTAAACAAAGTGACTTCAGAAAGAATTTTTTTTTTGTTTTTTGTTTTGCTCATATTTTTATAAATGTTCGAAAAAAAAATATCATATTATAGAAGTTGATATCTTTAGAATTTTTCGTAGATAGATATCTGATATTTGTCTGGGACAAAAAAAAAAGAGTCATTTATCTGACACCTAATTACTAAACTTCAAACTTGGAGTTTTTTTTACTCAAACTTTATAGAGAAACATAATCTTTCTCATAGAATGATAATGCAAATGTCATTATAATTTCTAACGACACATCAATAAAATTAATTGAGAAGTTTAATTCAAATAATACAATTTTTATGTACTTTTTACGAACTAAATAAATGTGAGTGTGCGAACATAAAGAAAAACATAGTTAATAGTTTCTAAAATAACACTTTTTGATTCTTTTGATAAGACTACTTAAAATTGCTCTCGACATGTTTTACTTGAGGAAAAAAAAGCATACCTACACGATTTTCTTCAAGTATTGAAGAATCTTCAGATCTATTACAACGCTGCTCTTTTTTGTTTTTTATTATGACAAAAAGATAAGTAGAGAAGTATAAGTTTTCATGCTAAATCTGATAATAATCAACAGCGAGCTTTAGAATTCTGAAGCACTAAACACTTCTCGGCTAGTTTATCTAGTCAATTAATCGCTTCTCTTGTTTTTTTTGTATTCTATGGTTATAAATAGTTCTTAATGCATATAGTTTGTATTATCCAAAGCGTTAAAGATAATAAGAAACGACAAGATCTCAAATGTCATTCAATATCTTGCTTGACATGCTATACTCAGGTTTATTTACTTGTTTTATCAGATTGCTTTTGCTAGGAATTCAATCATGTAGAAAATGGTGATAAAAGAACATCATTTGCATTCATAAATATAAATTTGATAGATTCTCATAATGATCAAAAATAATATTTTTTTTCAAGTGTGGATAGTGCACTCTATTTATTCTTAGTCGTTTTCAGATAATAAACGATTAAGGACAAAGTTATTTCTAAGAACATTATATATATATTAACACAAACGTTCAATCTACTAATACTATGTTTTCAATTTAGTATGATAAGCTTATAAAAGAACAAATGCATAGAAGGTTTAATAAGATGAGAAAAAAATCTATATTATTACATTCCAAGTATTTCCTGGAAAAATAATTATTGGATGAAAAAGAGAGAACATACATGTTGAGTACTCAAATCTATTGGTCTAAAGTTAACGTTATTTCTTACGTTTCATAGAATTTATTGAAAATATACATAAAAAAGAAATTGAGAAAAATAAATATTACAAAGTGTTTAGTCATCTGAAGATGATGGATGCACATCAAAACCTGCAGCAGCTTGAGCTCGTCTAAATAATAGATTATATTTTATGAGTGATAATAAATATTATATTAGTAATTAGTATAGTTTACCTTTTCCTTTGTTGTCGACGTTTCTATTTTCTTTCATCCTAACTATCAATACTACTTGAAACATCCTTATTTGTTATTGGAATTGATGATGAACCACCAAAAGTTACTGCTTTTGTTGAATTTGCTATTGGTATCGAACTAGGAAGTGGTGGAGCCGATGATAAAGAAAGAGAAGCAATTGAAGGTGTTTGATACATAGCAGATGCACTGGAATTTGATAAAGGTCTAGGCACAGGTGGTGGAATTGGAGGTGATGAAATTGGAAAATTTGAAGGTTTTTGATATGAATGAGTAGATGTGGTTGTCAATAAAGATGGAGGCAATGGTGGTGCAGGAGGAATATTTGATGCATTCGTTGACGATACTGGTGAACCAGATGCAACTACATATAGAAAAGTCTTTAAATATAGAATATAAGAATTTTTAAATAGATCACATAAATGCGAAAAGTCACGACACTTGTTTAAATATGTCTTTGAAATTAACAATGATGACTTAGTCTTGAATCATGCGGAAAAAAAAACATGAAATAGGGCACTCTAATTATTCTACTCTCATCGTTATTGAGAAAAAGAAATGGAAGAAATCATGACCTTGTTATTAGACTAAAGCTCTAAACATCTGTAGCGTTACCGTGTGATGTGTTCAAGGTCGGTGTTATTTCCGTTGTTGGAGCTGACAGTGATGATGTTGTTTCTGTTGTTGGAGCAAGCAGTGATGATGTTGCTTCTGTTGTTGGAGTTAATGGTGATAACGTTCTTCCTATTGTTGGAACAGATGGTGAAGATGTTGTTACTGTTGTGGGAGCTAATGATGATGATGTTGTTGGAGGTAATGGTGATGAAGATGATGTTATTCCTGTTGTTGGAATTGATGGTGATTTTATCGATGTTGATGGAATGGTGTTAGATATTGATGTTGGTGTAATTAAATTTGGTTTGTTTCGTGATAAATAGGATACGGGTGAATTAGGTGAAGTTAATTCATCGTCCGATAAATCAATAGTATCTCCTATAAAAGATAAATAGAAAAGAAAAATCTGAGAATTTGTTTGTTCCTTAAAAAATAAATGGCTATGATTTATATTGAAGTGTTTGATTTTTTCTTTTCTTCTAGAATATATTCTAGTATTGTAGCAAATTCTAACCTGCACGAATAGGTTTTAATGGTTGTGGTTTAATAGTTCCACGAAATAATTGTGGTTGCAATCTATTATATTGTCGACTTGATATTGAAGTATTTTCATAAGGTACTTCAGACGAAACAGAATCAGTATCTGATAAAGATGGAGAAGATACATCTTCATCACGACTTGATGGTCTATGAGGTTTAATATGATTAAGTGATGTATATAATGATCGACCAAAGCTATTAATTGATCCATTTGGACGTTGAATATAAATATTAAAAAGAAGAGGATTAACTGGAATAAGATGTTCATATTTTGCTTTCCATTTTTTATATGATATATATCCTTTAGGTACATAATCAGGTCCATCATCATAAACATCGTCAACATCTTTTACAGTAGTCGAAGAAGTTTTTCTTTCTTCTTCATGATCTGAAATATGTGATCGAACTTCATAGTCATTTTCACTACTACTACTATCATTATCAATTTCTCGTAGTCGTTGACGTTGTGTTTCATTATATATAGGCCGAAGATAAGCAGGTGTGGGTCCAAATACTGGATGCTCATAAATTTGAACAGGTTCAAATTTTTCTGCATGTACTATTGACATTGGTTGTTGTCGAGCATGTTTCATGATAGAACTAACATTTCTTGGTAAAATTTCCGATGCTTCATTACCCAACCATCGATATGTTTCACTTGATGAACCAATACCTGCTCGGGATAATGCAACTAATGAATCTCTACGATAAGGATTACAATTTATGTCTCTTAAATATTGTTCATAATTTCGACCAGGTAATGAACTTGTACCAAATGCACGAAATTCAGATATTTGTGGTGAGATAAGACGTTGATAGCGTTCAAGTAGACGATCATGATTATGATTTAAACGTTGTTGTTGTAAAAAATGTTGACGAATCATTTTGAAATAAGTTTTTTTTTTTTTTTTTATCTACAAAAGTATTTTCTTAGATTGACAATAAATATTTTAAAAAAAGTATTTAAATAATATTCGTTTTCATATATATTTCAATTATTAATGATGAAAAAATTTTAAAAAAAAGTTTATGTATGAATTAAAGAAGCGAATTTTAATAGTGTATTTTTGTTTTATTCATGCAATCTAATATTGATGAAATATCAATCATCATTTTGTTTCATAGTATTATTGCTAAATCTATTAAGAAATATTTTTAAAACAATCATAGAACTAAATAACTATCGATCGATTTACAAGAGTTCAAAAGTTTGATTAGAATATTTTCTTTAGAAATCCTATGAGAATGTTTGCGTGGTTTAATATAGAAGTTAACTTGACATCAGAACAAGTAGTATTGGTTTTTTTTCATAAGCACAAAATGAGAATATCTATGGTCTTACGATGCTTTTGTTTTTTTTTTGATTGATATTATTATTCTAACAAAAATTTTTAATTGATTTTTGTCAATATTTTGAGAAATTTGATTTGATACCATAACTCATTGTTTGTTTATTTTAGTGATTGTTACTTTTCGCAAGAATAAGAATGATACTAAAAGTCAGTGTAGAATAATTCTGCTTGAAATGAATCTTGTTTGAATATGTAAGATATTGACTTTAGTCTATTTTAAAAAATAAACAAATTCATATAACAATCAAAATCAATGTATGAATGTAGGCTAGACTAACCTTGATTCTTTCTAATAGAATAGAAAATAAATGAAAAGAATAATTTAACTTGATCGTTTTGCCATCAGAAAATATATAGTAATCAGTTAATGGGTTCCTTTTCTACATCATTCATTAAAAAAAAAAAAAGAACAATTTCAGCAGATACATACCCAATAGTATATTCGTTCAGAATGATACATAAAGATCCCTGATATTTGAATATGCTTGAAGCATCATACTCAATACAATCGAAACGTTTGTTTTGATCAGCACGAATATCGATTACCTCCACCTTTTTTCTTATATTTCTTTGTATAAGAAAAAAAGAACGAAAAGAAAGACCGTAACTACTAATATACATATATATTTATTAATACGAACGCAAAAAAAAAAAAAAATAATCTCCAATTTTCAGAAGAAAAAAGAAAATAAACAATAATTTCCTCTTGTTTTTTTTTTCTTTGTTTTATTTTAATAATAATCGATAAATGACCTACTGTATTTATTGAACATTTATCTAATATAATAAAATATTTTCGTTGATTTCAACTTGTAATCATCTTTTTTATTCAAGGTTTTGTCATAGTTTATTTAGTTATTGAAAAAAACCAGACATACAAGAGAACAACAAGGCCATCATCACATTGCCACGTCATGCTTCATTGCAATATAGATACGTCGTTTTTCTTTTTTTCTCTCCTCTCAATTCATTCATATTCAATACTTAAGTTGAAGAATAATATGGAAGAAAAAGAAAACGATTTTCTGGAAAAGAATAGAGAAAACAGGCAAAATTAAAATGAATAGTTGCAATCAAAAATTCTTTAACTAGAAAACACCTGCGAACCTTGTTTCGGAAAAAAATCTGTTTTTACAATTGATTCTTTTTTTTTTGTCTTTGTAATAAGTAAAACTATTTTCTTGCAATTGTCATATTTCAATTTCTATTTTCTTCGCTTTTCATCTCATTGTATAAACAAGGACGATTGTAGTAGAGTAGGAGGAGAGAAAGTCGTTGTGGTATGATTTTCCGGTGTACGTGTATGTTACCATACGCTATCGTCTTCCGCCCGGAAAGAGATGAAGAAGCGTAATAATAACGGTGGCACACTTCTTTCCATAGAGGATCAAGCATTGCACGTAGTTGTCGTTGATTATAAAAAAAAGCCGATTCAATAGAAACAATAAGTGGTAGAGTTTACTGGCTACAAGTTATCCAATTCACAATCCAATGATAGCTCGTCTATTTGTATACTTTATTCATGTTATCATAACTGTCACTAATGTTATTAACAATGATGAAGAATATCTCAATAAGCACATACCTTTTTGTATAAGTTAAATTAATTTTAATGAAAGAACATATTAAAAAAAACTATATTTGATTATTTTTATTTTATTTAGTTGTAATGCAACCTCATACAATTATTAATCAAACATTATATTCATATTGTAAAGAACAATATGAATTTAATATTCAATCAATGTTTATTAATTTAACAATGTATGTGATTTCTTTCTTCTTCTTTTTTTTTTATTTGATTGTTTAATGATCATTTCATGATGGAGTTTGTCTTTTTCATAGATGGCCATCAGGATTTATTTATGCACGTAATCCATATCAAAAATTTGGTATGAAATTTTCAATCATGATAGAAATGAAAGTAGTAATAGAATCAACTAGAAATTTTGTTTCTTCTCTTTTTATATACAGATGATTATTATACAAAGATATTATCCATACAAGAATGTACCATAGAATTACGAGCATCAATTGGTGATCATATTCGATTTATTTTTTATCCGATTTCTAATATACGAGATGATTATGATCAAGATTATTTTATTTCAATACCAAGAGCACCGTGTTTGAAAATTCGAGATGTATGTTTAAAATATTACAACATCGTATAATATCCTTTTTTTTATTTATTTAGCATCATGAAACAACAACCTTTGATTGTCCTATGATGCTTGATAAAAGCAAATCAGCATCATTGAATCATCAATCTGATGATTATCTATCTAATAGTAATATAATTTATCTTGAATTTATTCAACCACCAACTTTTACTAGTGATTATGATGATAGTTTTCATCAATTTAAATTATTTTTTACAACATTTACTCCAAAAATACATGTTGGCTTGAATGATGGTTTATATATTTGTCCAATGGAACATCTTATTGATTGTGGTGATTCTTATTGTGTACATGCAAATGCTCGTTGTAATGGAATAGATGAATGTCGTTCGGAAGTTGATGAAAAATTGTGTATAGGAGAAAAGTCAAATGCAAAATCTATTTATAATTTCTCATATATCATAATCAATATTAGATACATATTTATGTTTTTTTTTTATAATATCTATACTTTAACACAAGGACAAAGTTTCGCTTGATTATGACATCGACATGGTTGATCAAATTTACATTGGCAATGGAATGCATATGATTTACCACAACCAATAACTGAATAACGACCAACAGGAATATAACCATTAGCATCAAGTTTTGTTGTACCAATTGTTGGTTGTCGACGAAGTGATGGTGTATTACGACGATAACCTTTTTATATTCAATAGGAAAATTAAACAAATAATTATTTTCTTTTTTTTTGTTTATTGTCATTTAATAACATACCGAAAAGTCCATTATAATTAACAACAGCTTTAGGATCACTTAAAAATAATTCATGACCACGAATTTCATCAATCGAATGACCTAAAATATCAATTGTTGTTAATTGCTGTTTTTGTTTTTAGTTTTTTACTTCACCTGAACCAAATTTATTTCGAAGTGACAAATAACGATAGCCATGACCATTTGTATAAAATCGATCATGTACTCGACCTGCAACTGATTCATGAGCAGCTGACTAAATAAGAAAAATTCAATTTCTAATATTTTTTTACTAAAGAAAATATATTCTATACTTGTCCCGATCCTTCTAATGTTTTTCGTATACCAAAAAATTTAAAATAATTATCAACATGATGATCTAATTGTGCATTATATGGTGGAATTACTGAACCTAATTTAGGATTAGCTACTGAATAATCATTAGAAATATTCGATACAGCTTTAGAATCAAGAATAAAACTTCGTTCTAGATCAAATTGAACTTCAGGTGGTGGTGTTGGTGGACCACGATATAATTTATTATGACGAAATGAACTACTAGCACGAGATGGTGAAGCAAATAATGTTCGAGATGTTGCTTGTTTGTTATTAGCAGATTGATGTCGTCTTCTATTCGAAGATGTATCAGCTGTTTGACTTCTTGCTGGTTGTTCAAGTGTAGGAGAAGCTGTTGTACTCATGTTCATTAACATATGATTGCAAAATGTTAAGTTGCTTTCTATGCTTATGCTTTCGTGCAGATGTGTGCACAATTATAAAAGCAAAAAAAAAAAAATAACAGAAACTCTTATATAGACGCTACCAAACTGCAATGATGACAAAAACAACATTGTTGACGATAATGTATTTTAATGCCGATAGAGAAATGAAAGGGAGCATTATAGAAACATTTAAAAAAAAACGTTTTTTTTTTCTTCTTGTATTTTATATGTTGTCGCCTTCGGATACTTCGCCAAACATTGTGCTGTCAATAAATGTGAAGAGAAAAAAAATCCTGTAATGGACGTTAGAAAAATAAAATGTTGTTTAAAGTTAATATTAAAACAATAGAACTAGTTTGATTAATAAGATTAATCGTATGATATATGACGATAGTTTTATGTTAAGACAAATAGATCCATTTTTTATATGGTTTCCAAAATAAAATGAAAGTCTTCTGTCAATTATGTATAAATAAATAAAATGTAAATGGTGTTGAAAGATTGCCACATTTATTATTTGTAATCTTTCCAGGTATTTTGTAAATATGAAATTTGTATGGTTGAATTTTGTTTTAAGAACATTGCTCACAGATTTGTTCTTTTTTAAATATATTCTCATAAATAATTAATTGAGCAGTACTGAAATTTATAAAGGATTTGAAACTATTAAAAATACGATCTCTAGATATTTCTTTGTTCAATATTGAATATAACTAAGAACAAAAAAAGACTTGTTCTTCTATCAGATCTTTTTTTTTTACATAAAGAATGAAGTAACTGGACTGAAGGATTTTTTAAAATATGATCTAAAAGGAACGTTGAAGTATATAGGGTAGAAATTTGTAGCTCCGACAGATCATAACAGATATTTTAACAATAACATGTCATATGCGTAACTGACATTTCTAGCAACGTATATCCTTCATTA